TTTGTTTACTTTGAGAGAATTTGATACCAATTAAAATAATAAACTACGTATTTCATTCTAACTTTCATCTTTTCTCGTTTAATTGTTCTTCGTTAAAAATGACTGAACATGTATAATTGAATCTTGTAATAAATCTTAAATAATTCTTCAATGATATCCTCCACTGTTCGTAAAAAAAAAAAAAAATATACTTCACTTTTCATTCCATTCAATCGCGAGATTTTGTGTGCACAATATTTCGATAAAAATTTAAATCAGTCATCGAGTGTCAAAATCATGAAATTGAAATTATAACGACACGAGAAAGAAAAAAGAAAGAAGAAAAGCCTAAAAGAAATAGTAAAAATAATCACGTTTAGCACAATTATTTCTAATTTCAAAAGGGAGCATACAATTTTACGAAGAAGAAAATATTTTAAAAGGAGAAAATGAAATTTCCAAATAAAAAATTAACGCCTAATATTTGCTCGTAATGTTTGCACAATTCTGGCAATTATCAACAGCTGCGGGTACATTAACAAAGTCTGTTATTCTTTCTGAATACACGTTGTCGAATAAATATATATATATATAATGTTCTATCATTATATAATAGACATTTGAACAGAATATTTTCCTCGATTGTTCGTTATTTTATCAAATTGTTCGACCAATGGATTAAAAAATTAATTATCTTTCTCATTTCTCGGTTAAAAAAAATTTCACGTGATTACAGATACAATCAGAACCGATATATAACTCAAGGAAGTAATCGAACGCAAAAGAATACGACGATGTTGTCCTTCGTTGTTCGTTGTGAAAATGAATCGAAAATTCGGACAAAAATCGCTTGCGAACGTATCTTCGATCGATAGCGAGATCGAGATAATATTTTTTTTTCTGGAACACGAGTGCGAAACACGATAGAGAACGATTTATCATTCGAATATCATGAAATAGCAAAGTGTATTATGATGTTAAATTTTTATTTTTATTTTTACAGATGGTGGATTTTTAAAATTGGAATCTTCGTTTTTCTTCGAATTGATACGATTAAACTTGTACAGAAATCTTTCAATCTTGTTAATTTTTTAAGTTATAATAATTAAGTTTTTTTTAAAAGATTGCATTAATTAATTAAAATAGTTGCAAAGAGAAATAGAAAATTTAACTTGATTCAATTTTGTTAGTAATTTTTTTTCTAGTTCAAAATTCGTGTATTTATTATCTTTTCTAAATAATTTATATCTTATATAATTAAAACGACAACAAAATTTTAAAAACATTGGTATATTTTCTAATTTTATAATTTGGAATTTTATGTGCAAAATTCATATCTGTTTAAATTTTATTAACCGAAAATATTTTCGGCAATTTTTAAGAAAATTTAAACATGAAATAATTTATTACCTAATTCTTCAACGACTTACTATCATTTTACAAACAGATTTATATTACTTTTTTCTCGAAGAATTTTACATTTACGTCATTATACAAATATAACATTGCATAAAAAAAATCAAACCAATTTTTTTTATCAATGTAATATCTCATTCTCAGAAAAAGAAGAAACTTTCTTCAAAAATTGCCTAAGCGAAACAAATTAGGTGGTGCGTCTATCAGGAAACTTTTGATATCTTGTCAGTTAGATTACAAAAAATCTGTCCCCCAGAAAGTTAATTTTCGTCCTTGAGACAGTGTTTATATCCAAGTGAGCAACAAGTAAGCGATATGAAATTGATGCTCTATCAAACGCGATCAATAGAGTAAAAAATTATATGTTATCATTTCTTGTTTTAATAAATTGAGTAGAAATTAATAATTATTAGAAATTAGTTGTTAACAACACAATTACAATAATAATAATAAATAATAATAAGATAAAAATAAGAAATTGATAAGAAAAACAATAAAATATTATAATAATAAACATATCAAATAATTTTTTTATAACATCCTGACTTAAAGGCGTATCCATATTTTGCCTATCTTTAAAATTGCTTTATACATAACCTTTCTATAACAATTACTTCATTTTTCATATTACAAAATAAAAAATTTGTTTCGAATAACTTTCCACAAATCGATAAAATTGTTACAAATTATGATTAAAATTATGATTAAATTATTTGAAAAGAAAATTAAGCAAAATACATATATTATGTGTAACTTTCAAGTCATACGGTTTTATAGCGTCTTAATTAACGTTTAATCGTGATCCGTTTGATACCCGCGATTGTTAAAATTTATATGTTATGACGAAACTGTCACGGTTCGTTTTACAATGTAGTAAAATATATTGAAATGTGTACGAGAGATTCGATATATTCTTTGTATGCAAATACATGTACGCTATTTGAGATAACATTTTAAAAAAGCACCAACTAACATTTATCTATGCTAACGCGATGCTGGTCATGTGAACTACCCTTTAATGCGAGATAACACTTTTAAACTAAACAAAACGCGCCTCTCCTACCCGCATTCGACTTCCACATAAAACAGCCGGTATCATCATTAACGCTTTTTTCACATACCCATTAAATGCCTGCATATCCACATGTATCTTATATTTTATCCATTATAATCGTCCAAGAATAAAAAAATTATCCATAAAAATCAATTTATATAAAGTCTGTTCAAAGAATATTGTGAATAGAATGTAATTGCAGAAATAAATATCGAAGAGTTAAGTGAAGATAGGATTACAGATGGATAAGCGCGACAAGTGGTTGTCCATACTGACATACTGTTACGTATAAACAAATTTGATGAAAAAACAATATGGACGCGCGTTATTACGAATTATTTCTATGCGAATCGCAAATAGGGTCATCTCCTCACTCGTTAATACACCCATTCGATGCAATCGAAATGCACCAGATGGAACGGAGCACCGGCTCAATGTGACCGACTTGTGTTCAATGCACGCGCGTGCACGTGCACTCGATTGCAAGTAATATTTGCATCGCGATAAAAAACACATTAGGAAAGAATAAATTATACACGAGCCGTACTTACCGAAGAAGAAACGAAGAAGCGTGAATTGTCCTTGGTACGAGGAAAAATCACCCCGACAAAACGAATAAAATTACACAAATATCTTGAGCGTAACAGTAAAGCCACAGCACTGATCGAACGGAGCCCGCACTGTACCATACGACGCACTGTTAGCAACCGAGGCGCCAATGAACATGCAGGAAATCAGGACAGCGGGATCGATAGCCAACACCCGTGCACCTATGAACGTATTGGACCACCAATAGGGAAGATTTCGCGCTCGCAAAAGCAAACTCTCGGTGTAAGCTTGCGACAAATTTACTGCCAGATACGGATAACCTGACCTTCAATCGGTAAAGTGGACTTCCGTATAGACAAAAAACAGAACGATATACACGCGTTCACGTCCTCCGCGGAAATGTGCAACCGGTCGCACGTGCTGTCCGACCGAACCTTCTCTAGTCCCGTTGTTCGACCAATCAACATGGACCACCTGTTAGCAGCGTACTGAACTCTTGTGAAAACGGCGCATATAACGTTGCGCGCGCACCTGTTCTTTTGGCGCTCTAGTAATGGCTAGCGGTTTGAATCGTAGGCAGTGTCAGTTTATTCGCGTCGTAATAGTGTTCGATAATAATATTCCGTGTACTGTAAATGAAAAAAATGTGCTTTAGAATTACGTATTTAATAGTGAACATTTGTGTAAAGTATTATGTATTTGAAAAGTGAAAAATGAACAAAGATTTCTTTAGAAGTTTGCATTGGTGAAATGATGGATAATATGATCTTGATTTATGTAAATCTACAATGGACTAAGAATGCTTCACTTCTATTCAGGAACTGTACTGTGAGTTATTATTTTATTATTATATTTCTAAAGTTAATATATATCTTAGGTATTATGATATATAATGAAATATTGCAAAAAATAGAATGAAATTTTACATGATAAATCTGAACATAAAAGCTTTAAAATTACTAAATTTTTTGATTAATCTATAATACTAAAAAGTAGATTGATATTGAAGTATTACAATTCTGTTTAAAATGTAATTAATAGCTAAAATTAAAGATATAAAAGTAGTCGCATTTATACTGATATAAAATTCAATATGGATGCCAATGTGAAGCGTCATGATAAAGGCGGGAACTTTGAAACATTCAAACATTATATTTTATTTTAAAGTTAATTTTAAGTTTAATTTTAAAGTTTATTTTAAAATTAACTTTGAATATTTATATTCAATTTTTAAATATTGTAATCCAATATTATTTATTTAAGTAAGTTATTAGATCCAATATTATTTATTTAAATAGTAATTATACCAAGTATAACAAAAATAATATTGTTCAGAAGTTATGCAACATTTATTAACAAATTTGTTACACATTTAGAATTGTAATGTATACATATTTCATAATATAAATGATAGTATACATGTTTTACATCTTAACATGTAACATGCAAACATAAAGTTTAACAAAAATGAAACAAGATATAAAAATATATATTTAGTGAAATTTACAATACTTTGTATAGATTGAAACGTACATTTAATAAAAGTAAAACGTATTTAGAATTACATTTCAATTGTTAGGAAAAAATTCATTTATTATTCTGAATTATTTTGAAATGAAAGCAAAAATAGTATCATATTTATAAGAATATAATATTAAGATAATTCTATATCAGTAATATATCCTATAGAATAATTTCTAGATGCCAAAAGTATTACATTTTTTTTTTTTGATTTTTACACAAATAAAAGAATTTGCAATATTTTCTATTCCGCAATTTGAAGCAATGATAAAATAACTTTGAGTGCTTGATTCGCGTTGTATTGCTTAGTAATAGAATAACATTTTCACAATATTTTGATAAATGTACGCGAAGAAATCACTATAATATTAAGATTTGTTTGCAAACAGAATTCATAAGAATTACAGAATTTAGATAAATGCTCCTTTTGTTTATATTTATAATATGAGTGTCTACAAAAATAATTCTCTTCACTACGAGGTAGATTTTGAAGCATGTTCTTTATTCGAAGATTAATTGTACATCATGCCACTATTGTGCCCACGCCAGTAGAAAAATTATATTTTTACCAAACATAATTTATCTTGTTCTGACCTCTATTTTTATCAGGTACAATACAAGGCTGAACAAAATATGATTATGTATCTTTCTTTCTTTTCTTTTTTTTTTTTTTTGTTATAAAAAGGATACCACTAGAAGTTATTCATTTTCTTCTATCTTTTTATCCCATTTTTTGCTTGTCGTTCACTACAATTATATGAACAGTATTCAGATTTCAATATAAGCATTATATATAAAATATAATTATACACAAGATCTTTGAAAAAAAAAACAAACACAAACATTATGTAATAAACATTTACATAGAATGTTAACATAATATATCTTTCCTGCGAATGATAATGATATATGTATATATCTATATATATAATAGAATTCAATAATTTTTTTCAAACGATAAATAAAAATAAGAGAATTCATTCAACATATAACAATTTGAAATCATTCCTCACATTAATAATCTTAGCAATATAGATGAAAATAATGCATGATTTTCTCCTCTTATATCACAAAACATATATATTATTCAGAAAAGAAATGATAAAATTATCTTACGCGATTCCCAGCGCATAATGAATTTTTAAAACAAGAAACGCTTATTATATTTCTTTCTTCAAAGCGGATCTCAGTAACGCACTGCGCATCGATGTAACGAGTTTTTCGAGTTCCTCGACCTTCATTTTCAATATCCTATTATCTCGTTCCAATTCTATCGCTTTCTTCGCCATTTCAGTTTCTTTCGCTTTCTTGTTCATTCGTGATTTCCTCGAAGCTTCGTTATTCTTCTCTCGTGATTCTCGATAATGCGAAGCAAACGTACGATCGTCTGAATCGCTTTCGGCGTAACGTTTTCTCACCGATCTCTCTCGTCGCGTTCGACTGTAAGGTTTTTCTATTTTATTAGTAGCAGATATTCTCGTTCGTTCTGTCCTCCGCGTTGATACCACAGGCGTATCTGTAGAAGATGAAGTTATCGTCGATGCTGCTGTTCGAGTTTTCATACATTGTGGGGTGAGAGTATCATTACTTTCCGTTTTCACTTTTACGCTAGTTTGTGGAATAGTTTTGGATGATTTGGAGGATGACCATGGTTTCGATACTATTGAAGAATCTGTTGAAACGCTACCTTCTGGAGAATGCATTTCATCCTATAATATGTAACGTATTACATGTTTTATTAATAATCATTTTTATGATTCTTATGTAACAATTTATATAATACTTTAAACTTGAATTATATAAATCTTACTCAGAACTTACATCGCAAAGATACGACAATAAATCGAACGTATCCGATCCAGTAGTCTCGACTGTTCGTAACACGTCCCACGTTTCACGTTGATTCTCAGTGGAATCGAAAGAAGACGGGCAAGCATCGTTCAAATCAATGTCCTCTATCTGATATTTGGATTGGAATGATGTACTAACATCTGTATCACTCTGTTTGCTCCATGAGCTTGTATTTACAGTAGTTGTTGATCCTTTAGATAACTTTAACCACAAGTTAGATGTGTTTGATTCTGTTGAACTATTTTTTTTCTCGTATTTACTAGTTACATTTGATGTAGATTGCAAACTCTGGCAACTGTTATTCGAATGTTCGGTTGTCTTAGCAGTACTCATTTTCATGCTCCACTTATCTTCTTCTGCTACACTCATCAAATCTTTCAATACCCCCTCTTCTGAAGACAAAACGCTATTACCCTCGTATTTCGTACCTGAAACAATTGCAAAAATCAAGAAAAAAATGTCTTTTTTCTATATAAATTTCTTTTTAATGATAATGTTTATATTTACCTGATAGTTTAAAAGTAGGTGATTCACCTGTATGAAAATCGCATTGACCCTGGAACGGGTCCATGCACCAATCGCTTAAATCCTGAAAGTTTTCCTCCCATGTGGAGGATGCTGCTTTCTCGTCTTCTTTTGTTGCATTGATCTTTGACTGTGGAAATATCCAGGGCTCGTTTAGCAATTCTGACTCCATGGTTGGGGTTAACAAAGGAATTGTATCCATTTTTGTAGATTCTTCCTCCGGTGGCCACGATCTCACGCCACGAGAAGCAAATGACAGACGCGGCTGGCGATTGCATGGCTTTGATTCCTAGAATTTCATTTCTTTAAAATTTTATCATCATATTTTAGTTTTTCAAAAGGTTTTTAGTACATCTAATCAAACACATACGTTAAACACGCCTCCTTTCTCAAATGAAATGTTGCTGGTCGTTGAGCGTTCGTAAATAGGAGGGATTTTGGATACCTATGAAAAGATTAATTTTTCTATGTTTATGATATATTGAGAATTCTTAACTCTAGTTGATAGAAAGAATATTTTGAATAGTATTTTGTTAAATAATTATCAAATAATCTATGAATAATCTTTATCTTTATGCAACAAAATTTATATTGTTTTAAATCATATTTAAGTATTAAATAAACCAGGCAGTATATCCTAATATCAGCTTATAAACATGTAGATAAAAAATATCAACAGTTCCATCTATAAAATTATAAACCAACAAAAAACTAATTTATCATGATAACGGAATTAATGTATCTCGAAAGAGATAATATTACGTGTTAGAAAGATCATATCAAATATATTAAACACAATCTCAAGACTTAGTTATCTGTAAATTCAGCAAACAAAAAGTTTACTGAAAGTAGTTAGAGTCTTTACCAGGGATACCATGTTGAGGCAAATCTGTTGGTAAAAAAAAATGAAATTTATATTATAACAAAACATATAAAAAACAAAATATAAAACGTATATATTATAATAATAAAAGCAGTTAAAAAAAGGTATTCAATCAGTGTAACTCAACCTATATAAAAAATGTTAAAATACATAAAAGTAAAGGAGGCGTAAAAAATATTGATGCTATCGTGTAACTACATGCCACACGCAATTAATAATTATATCTATATAAAACATGCACGATCTGTTTTTTTAAATTTTCAATGATTACTTATCGAATTGTATATCAAACAATTATACATCGTTATCACATAAAACAAGATTCGCGCAATATCGTTTCAAAAAGTTTTCGATGATCATTGTGTTCAAACCGTGTCTTATCGTTGAACTGATCGCGGCCCACACAAACGCAACCACGTTTTATTATCGTGCCGCTTCTTTTTTTTTTCTTTTTTTTTTTTTTTATTACGCTTCTTATCGAACGACGATAGGCGGGACAGTCGCCGTCGAAACGTTCTTTTTACGTTGCTAACACTAACCTCGTTACGTAACACGCAGCATCAACGCATGTGACTGAATTTTGCAAACCGGTTCACGTTACCGTATATTCGTCTGTGTAACGTTGCGATGCACACCGAATTTGCGCAGAAAACGACCGCACAATCGAAATATATAATGAATCGGAACCTTCTGGAATAGTATATTTTGTACGATACTGCAGTATATAGCAGAATGCGGTCGCTAGGACGTCCGATCGATTCGTAGTGTTTGTTAGCTGCGGCGTAATTTCGCGTATTCCCACTTCGATAAACGATTAGAATTAACCCGATCTACGGTTATATAATCCAGTTAGAATTGTAACGTAGATGCGAGACAGAGGACGAAAATTAACGTGAAAATATCCACTCACCCTCCTTGAAACAATCGGTGTTGTTGTACCTTCCACTTGGAACGCGAGAACTGTTTTATATATCGGCGAGTCCAATTTTCTCGCAGGATACGTTCTCAAATCTATATACTCAAGGTTTTCGTACGCAACCAAAGCACTAAACCGTCCGCGCTACCTCGCTTCTGTGAACCTTCTCCGCGGAATGCGAGCTGGAACGTCGGTAGTGCGGGATTAAACACGTCACTGTACCAAAGCGCTTCAGATTCCGCGCCTGGTTGAACGGTATACGTATGGAGTACATCACTGTTGTCCAATAAGAGCTATCATGAGCACACTAGGGACCAATCCTTGCAAGAGAACGATGCAGTGGGAAAAAGTTTGACACGTCATGAGAAGATTCGATATGGGGACTCCTCCAGTCGATAATCGTATTTTTCCACTTTTCGACATTCATAAATCGATTTACGAGTGAAATTCTCATTGTTCCTTATTAAATGATTATTATACTGAAATAATTTATATGACAAGTTTAAGTTTTTTCTAGGTTATTATATGAAACAAACGAAAAGTCACTAAATGCTATGTTTAGTGATATATAGACGAGAGGAAGCATGATGCAAAAATGTAGATTCGTTTCAAAGGCATTAAAATAATAATAGCGATATATATGTATATATCATTATTATATAATTTATTGTATTTACTGTGATGTGCGTTTTATTTTGGAATATACTAAATTAAAACGTGACAATGTTATCGTTGGAGTGAATCAGTTCCGCCGAAGAATTGAACATAAAGTGTTACTAGATGGAGTTAATGGTACCGTGTTACGTATTCACGTGACTGAAACGGCATGACTCGATTACGAAAATGGGAAAATATTTGAAATTACGCAACACTTCAATTACGTGTCTAATCATTATTTTAATTATTAATAATCTATCTTTTTTTTTATCTTTTTTTTCAACGATACATACAATTAAATTATATTAAAAAAATAAAAATCAAATTTTAATATATAGACGCAAAATAATAATAATGATGTAATATTTTAGAAATTAGCAACAGTGTTACGAAATATAGTTTATTCAAGCTAAGAATTTTGCACTTTGAAACTCTCGCGCTAAATTTATAACGAGATATTCAGAATCGAAACAATGAATTATTATATCGATGAACCAACCAATTCGTCCTTCATTCCCAACCCGTCCACAACAACACATCCAACTCCAACCACAATTTTTTTAACAAAATAAAGCAAAATGTAGTATTTAATTACATTTAATTCTAAATTAATCAATCAATCCGGAACCAATCATTCTACGTAATAAATTAATCTTTAAAACAAGACAAATTCGTGATGCATAAATCAGATTCTGCGGATCTTACAAACCAATTAGAGGTAATGATTATGGCAATTATAAAACAATGATAAAAGAAAATAAATATTTCAATCTTTTCAGTCATTATTGGAACTGATGTTAAGAAATTCCGCCCAAGGTATATCGTGTAATATGAATCATAAACGTGATAATATAATTTATAAATAAATTTATTAATCGTGTTCCTTTATGATTTATCCGACGATAGAATCAAAAAATACGGAAAGAACAGATATCAAGAGAGACGAATCAGATATCGAGAACACAGATAACGACAAAGATTATTCCGAATCGAGTGAAGACGAACAGAATTCTGGAAACAAATACGGTTACAAGAATATTTTACGTTTTAAAAAATTTTATGAAGATCACACGCATAACAACTTACAGGAAAGCGAGCATAAAAGCATCTGGGATGATTACGTGTTCAATGATAAAATGTACAGAGTGATCCTTATAAAATTAGATAAAAGTAAAATGGAAACAAAAGGCGCAAATTTAATTGATAATCAATTAATGAAATAAAAAATAGAAATAATAAAAAAAAAGAAATATAATTCGTTCCTTCTTTTCTTTATATAAGGACAGATTTTAAATTACAGACTTGTTTTTTATATATTTATAGAGAACGTATGTATATAATGGAATATATACGAAGCAATTAAAAATTTGTATTAATACCTCTTAGGAGATGATACAAATCTTCGATTAGATTCCACTTCTTCAAGTGAAATTTGCATAAAATATCCGCAGTCTAGCGATTGGCACTGATAGATTATTTGAAATATGAGTCATCTTATAAACACTTTTTAAATATCTCGAATAGAATTATTGGAAGTATGATTCAGAGTTCAACAAATAAGAGGAAAATTTACAGAGAATTTTTTTTTTTTCCTCATTCAAATAATAGCAGAATGATAACAATTACAAGGTCGTGATAACAATTGAATAAAAATGATCCAGGAAAACAACCTTGTCTTGTCGTAATACATTTTATTAATAAAAAAAAAAAACAACCGTTTGTTAAAGTTTTTACAATACAAGTGAAAAAAAAAACAGGTTGGTAGGCATGGTTCAATGTACATTCGGTCGATCCGTTCCTACGATTCCATTCTCTTTCTCTTTTGATTTTTTTTTTTCTTCTTTTTTTTTTCTCTCCCCCATGCTTAATCCGCAGCCTACATGCAACATTTTATATTACAGCGAGTGTGATACACGTTATATCTATAGTAACAAAATATAAATTCGCTTATGTATAAAAAGGAGAAATGGAATGGTGAGAGAAAGTGGTTTGGATAGGAGGGGGGGGGGGGCTTTTATATATTAACATACATGAACACACTTCCACCTCTCGTACGCATCACGTTGAATCATAAGATTGAGAGACAGAGAGATAGATAATAGAGATAAAAAGAGAAAGAGAGAGAGAGAGAGACGTGGAAAGTTAATAGAGGATAAAAAGTCCTTAATTATAGGCTAGGTGGTATTATAAATTACAAAAAATTACAACCTCACGCATAATAGTCTTTTCTCGTCGCGAACATTCTCGTTGATCGATGTTGCACGGGTGCCGAAACAACGATCCTACTTGATGGATCGTCGTTCCAGGACCTCGATCGTCTCTTCATCAAATCGATCAACGTAAAGGGAAAAAAAAAAAAAAAAAAGGAAAAACGTCACTCATACGCGTACACGTTGGCGCGTAAATACACACAGTTTTTTTCGAGAGGACTCGTGAATTCGATTCGATTCCCTTCACGAATCATCCTCGAACGCCACCAACGTGGTACAATCCTCGTTTGGAAGTAAAATAAATAAATCGGTCTCTCGTCGATGAGACGACATTCCCTATGCTCTGGGACGATAATTTCTCTTCTCGTGTTTTGTATTCTACGATTGTAGAATGTTGATCGCTAGATGTCGTCACTGGCCCTCGCTGTCGCTGTCGCTTTTGTCTGTAAAAATATTTTCATTGTCTCTTATTTTATTTCTATCTTCTATCAACTAACTATATTCGTAATTAAATATTTCTTGAAAAATAAATTCATGGAAGCACATGGAATATTTCAGGATATATATTTTGGGTGTGTTGTTTCGTCTCTCTTTTTTAACGATTTAGCGATCTTTGTAAGGTTCACGACCCACAGATTGGGAATCCCGGTTTTGGAGGGAGAGCGTGTCGGGAGAATGCGTGGAATTTTTTCTGTAGTCATTTCTATTAATACGACGCGGCAGATGACGAATTCAACGATTATTTATTACAACTTGACCTTTGTATATAGAAAAGTTATACGTTCACAAGAACCATTTTAGCCATTTTATCTTGACAATTATACGTGCTATATATACAAATTTATGGTTTTGTAAACGTAAAAGTAGGAATATTCCAACTCAGAACAGATTATCTATTTAAACGTTTCGTTTGTAATTTAAATAAATTCGAAGAATAATGAAAAATTTCCTTTCGAGATAATTCGCTAAATAATAATATTCTTTTTTTCTATCGAAGAAAAATTCATTTTGTAAATGGTACCAACCTTTTTTGCCAGGATACGCGTGACGCTTCAGCCTGTCGTAAAGATCATCTTTTGTCCCGTAAATACTCGCGTTCGAACGTGCGAGACTGTTCATTTTACCGTTGTGCAGACTCTCTGAAAGGAGCGAAGAGAGAAAACACGTGAAACTAAATGCACACTTCTTTCTCGAGCTTATCCTGTTCTCACGATTTACCTTTCATGTAGGTCTCGTTGTAAAAGTTGGGCATTTCCCAGCCGTCCTCCTCGTCGTCGTAGTAATGCGCGTAAGTACTGTGATGGGAAGGGGCGATTGATTCCGCATACGGCGTCGGTGCACCGTAATAGAAGTTCACTTGAGAACCGTTTTGATCGGTCGCAGGTGTTAGCATCTTTTTGGGTTCCTTCTTTCTGGACGCTCTGTGGGGACGATTTAAAAAATTATTAACAATTATTAACTTATTTATTTATATAACACGATGTAATAATTTTTAAAATAAAATGAAATAATTATTTTCAATATACTTGGAAATATATATATAAATTTTTATTCACTCTCATCTTGTTGTGATCTTCGATTCGAGAAAAAGATTTAAAGGGAGGAGGAGTTTTCTGTGACCCACTAACCTGACACAGATCATCCATACAAGAAGAACGACAAAGATGATTAAAATAACGCCACCGGCTATTCCCCCCGTGATGTAGAAGAATTCTGACTTCTCGGTGCAACGTTTTCCCGTGAAGCTTCCGCTGCATCTGCAGGACGGTTGTCCTCGTGAATCCTTCAGGCACACCCCCTCGTTGTCGCAATATCCCATGCACACATCTGTGCACTCGGTTCCGGTTCCGTTGTAACCAGGCTTGCACTCGCACTTGAAGTCGCTGGTTTCCGGTATCAGAAGGCAATACGCGTTCGCGTCGCAATGCATTTCCGCATCACTCGTCTCGCACGGATTCGTGCAATCCGCTTTGCTGGTCTAATTTTTAAACGAACGCATTATTTTAATCGCAAGGATACAAAATTGAAAAATTGCTATCAACATCGTGACGTTAACGCTATCAGAACTCTAAAAATGTTAAAGATTTCCTGTAAGCAAGAGATTTTCTTTCCTTTCGAAATATATCAAACTAACTCCTTAACCATCGAATCAAAGATAAAATTCCAATTAACTTATCTACGAAACTTGCTCAAAACCTGTTGAAGGAACAAACTCAGAATATAGATACTCACAGCAGCTGTTCCCTTGGTGCTAGTATTAGGGGGGCAGGGTATGCAGAAGGTCTGCTGAGGCTCCGACTGATAAGTCCCCTTCTTGCACTCCATGCACTCGTTCAACGTCCCGTTCAAGTAAGTTCCCGGCTCGCAGACGGGCAAAGAGCACTCCTCTATCGCCGCGGAGCCCATGTTCGGGGTCGTTCTGCCAACAGGGCACGCCTGGCACGCGGCCTGGACGCCCTGAGTCCTGTAACTCCCTCTCGGGCAGGGCTCGCATTTCCCTTCCACGGCCAATTGCTGCCCGGATCCGCACTCGTCCCTGCACTCCTCCCGTGACACGGCCTCCGCCGTTCTCGTCGTTTTTCCCAGGCCGCACAGCAAACACGAGAAGCTGCCCTCGTTCGGCTGGTAGAAACCGTGGCCGCAGCTCCGGCACAGGCCTGCCAGGTCGTCGTAGTACTTTCCTGCCGGGCAACGCTCCTTGCAATCGGCCGCGCTGCGAGCGCCTGGCCCCACTGTCACGCTTGGCCGGCCAGCTATCACGGGGCACGAGCTGCACTTCAGCTGACCCGACTCGCTTTGGTAGCTTCCAACAGGGCAGGATACGCACTGCTTCGTTCCTCGTCGTAGAACGTTCCCACCGCGCAGGGCACTGTGATTGAGAATTGTGTAATTTTTAATTTTAGATGGATTTGGTTTTTTGAATTTTTCTTTTGACGAGAAATTTGTTGGTTTTGAGGGAATTGCAATAGATGGATATTTGAATGTTGTAATGAGGAATGGGGAGATATGTTTTAGATATGATTTAGGTATTAGGTATCAAGTGTAGAAACGTGAGAATTCGTGTCACGTGGTGACTAACGTGGATGAATTACAATAGGTGTTTGAATATTCTAACGAGGGATATTTGGATAAGTGAATAGATTTTAGTATTGTTAGAGATGATTTTCAGTAGAGTTCGTGCGATTTGAATGTTGTTCCAATTGGATGGATGCGTTTAAATATTCCTGATAAAGTTCGTGATTATGAGAGAATCAAGATCATATTCCAATGAGGAGACTACTTAAGTATTCTGAACATCAACATAAACTTAGATTAATTTGCGTGAAAATGAGATTAAATATAGGAAGCACGCATTTTCAACCGAATGCTCGAAATGATTCTAGAAAGGATTCTAATTAAAAATAGAGTTATATTTAAGAGTTTGATTTCTTCTGATTACATTATTATGTTTCTGTATTATATTTAATTTAAAAAAAATCTGTCAAAAATACATACCACAATCGGGTGCCATGACCACTTGGCCCACAGGACAATCGTAATCAGACTCCAATATCAGGGACGCTGGGTCAGGTACCGTGTTGGGCAGAATATCGTGAACGTCGAACTGATCTTCCTCCAGGATTAATCTCTCCAACAGGGTTTGAACAGTCGCTCTCTCGTTCGAATTCGCGTTCAATATCGGGTCGCTATAAAATAGTGGAATTCGATTAACCAAATTGCGGATGAACGGGTGGTGTTTAGCGGCAGGCAAAAGGAGAGTAATGCGCAAGTATGTACAGCCGTTATCTGAAGGCGAAGGTAATCAGGCAGCTTTTCCATTGGTTGTTGACCAGTAGTAGTGCCGCTTATTATCGACGCTCATTAATTTTACCTACGTAACGTTTAATTAATCCAACAAATCCTGGAATACTAATTTATTACATGTCGCGGGTCAGTTTGATCTTCTGTTAATGTAAATGTGATGGGAACCGAAGCTGTTTGGTATGCGAGAAAATATTAGATAATTCTTTTTG